AAAAAAAAAAAAAAAAATTGAAAACTTCAATTATCAGATCACAAATTTTTAACAGCTTTGATGGGGAGAAATGGGAATATTGTTTTTGCAAAGGGACAAGCAAAGAATAGGGAAAAGCATGAAAAGAAGTGGAAACAAATATGATTAGTCATAATCAGCAGTTTGAATAGGGAATTAGATGGCATGCATGCGATGCGAACAACACGAAGACAATATCATTATTATCATGGACCCTCCATGAGGTTTTGTCCTAATGCACCTTAACCTAATAAACTCATCTCATTAATCTCAAACTTTTTTTTTTGTTTGCTCTGTATAATTAATTCTACTTGGTAAAAAATATATTGTGTTATTAATGGCAGATTGTTGTGTCACGGAAAAAATGCTCTTATACTTGAATGTAAAACGCATTTTCTTTTTCTTTTTCTTTTTTTTTTTATCATTTTTGATAGATACATTTTTCGTGATTGAACACTTTTGGTTTCAAAGTATCTATCAATGTAAAATCTGAAAAATGCGAAAAAGGCAAGGAAGATAGAAGAAAAACAAATAACCGAACAAGATTATTAATGATACGGTTGAATCATGAATGTATGATAAGCAAATTGTATAAATACAATATCATCATGTAAATGTGTCTTTCAATCTAATAAAATGAAACAAAAAAAAATCATTTTGTACGACAAATTATCACTCAATAATGGGGTTAAGTTATATTTACTATTTTTCTATATATTGTTTTTGTGATGTGTATATACAGCACACGCATGGTTAGAGCCTAAACTGGGTTGTTTTAGTCAACATGACGAATGATTCAGAAACAAAAGAAAAAAATAACATCGCTGTATACCAGATAAAAAAATTACTTAAGGTATGCTTGCCCTTGCCCACATAAACGGGGTAAAGTAAAGACACTAGAAATAAATAAATAAATAAAGGTTGGTAAAAGGCCACACATGTGGTGCCCTTGCTGAGATCATATGCAGCAAAAGAGAAGTTAACCAAAATTTTGATTTTGATTTGTTTTGTTTTTCATTATATAGTTGCATACAGAACAATAAAATCTGGTCAACGTTGACTTTCCTTGCTCTTTCACATAATTTATACTATCGTTTTATGCGTTCACACCCTCAATTTTGGCCCTTCATCTTTTCTTTCTCCAAAATACACACACTACCCATCTTCTTTTAACATATTTCTCTGCCTTCATCTTGATATTCTTTCCAAAATAAATAAATAAATAAAGTTGCTTGTTGTAGATTCTTTGTCCTTGCTGTCAGCTTAATCCAAATTTTCACAGTAAAAGGTAGGTTAGGTCACCTGCAAATTTCAGATATTATTCCCTCATTGTGTCATCTCCTTTCTCTTATAAACTTTCCCATCTTGCACATTTCCAGTTTGTCCTTTGCATGATTATTTGTTCTGTTTAGTTTCTTTCTTCTCTGCCTAACTGAATTCTAGTTAAAGGGTCTTTTCCATTTAATCTCAAAAAGCCTTCATAAAACATGTTTCTTTGGATACCTTTAAGGTCCTTGTTCTAGCAGAAGCCATTTTGGGCCTTCTAAATTTATATTTCCTTAAGAAGAAAAAACAGAAGGGCTCTCTCTATTCACTTCTATCTGTTGTTTTGCTCTATAATTTTTCAGCCATGTCAAGAATTAGCCCAATAATTCTCTTGTCTATAGTGATTCTAGCCATTGCCTTCTTTGCACTTGGCCTACTTCAACTCCTCATAAGATGTCTCATAAAAAGGCCATCTTTTTCCTTAAACTCTCAATCCACTCGAAACAATAATCAAGATTCTAACAATCCCCACACATTCCAAAGGCAGCTTCAGCATCTCTTCCGTTTACACGACTCGGGCCTTGAACGGGCCCTCATAGATGCTCTGCCCGTTTTCCATTATCGAGACATCATGGGACTGAAAGAGCCGTTCGATTGCGCTGTTTGTTTGTCTGAATTTTCGGTCGAAGATAAACTGAAGTTTCTTCCTAAATGTACCCATGCCTTTCACATTCATTGTATAGAGACATGGCTTTTGTCAAACTCCACTTGCCCTTTGTGCAGAAGCTTAATAGGGAACTCTATAAATAATCCCTCGTTGAATTTTGGTGGTTCGGCCGAAAATCGCGATTTATCTCGTTCAGGATCTATGGTGTTATCCGTTCGGCTCGGGAAGTTTAGGAATTCGAATGAAATTTCAGAGTGTGAAGATAAAACGAGCTTTGAGGTTAGTAATAGTATTAATATTAGCAATACTATTATTGATGCTAGAAGATGTTACTCTATGGGTGCATTTCAGTACATAGTCGATAATGACGAATTGAGAGTGGCATTGCCGAATGGTGGTAGTGTTGGTGCAAATGGTAAAGCACGAGGTACAATGACGATATGCGATGATAATAATGTGGAAATAGAAGGGAAGAGGATTAGTTCAAGGAGTAGAGGTGATAGTTTTTCGGTTTCGAAGATTTGGCTATGGTCCAAGAAAGGAAAGTTTTCGAGTTTTTCGAATGAGGGTGAAAGTTCAGTTCTGCCTATGCCTAATGGAAGAAGTGTAGTATGAAAAAGTGTTCATGTGATTTGATTCTTGATATGGGAAAATTGGTATAGTTTACTAGTGTTTGCTTTGAAGTTATATATGTTTGTATTGTTTATCACTTCTAATCTCTTTTAGGGTATTTTCAATTGTGGTCTTTGCAAGAATTGTTGTCCTCTGGCATGAACTTCACGTGTGTATGTGCAAGAACAGATAGTAAATATGAAAACCAGATTTCCTGGTTTTAAGTTTTGCAGTATAGATAGATACTTTTCTTTTTTACAATTTAAATTTTAATGCTAAAAATTTGATTTTAATTGATTTCTTTTTAATGTTGTTTAATCTTTTCTTGTGCCCATAGAAGGAAAGTGTGATCATGCTTGTATGTGAGGGTATGCGTTTGTTCTTTTGTCTTTACTGGCTTTATTGTGTGGTACACTTCTCAAGCTCAAGTATGCTATACAATCATTGCTTTATTTATTGTAATTATATAATTTTGTAACATAAGTAATGGTAAGCATCATGATTCATGAGTCCATTCTACATGTTTGGGACACTTCTCCTTTTGGTTTGACTAAATCTATGGGTTGGGTGATCATAACTTCATGCATGAGTAATTGTTATACTCATAGATATGTTAATAGCTGATACATATAAAATACGAATACGATACGATTAGAAAAAATAATCATATATACAGTTGACGCGCACAACAAGAAACACATTAAAAGTACAAAATACAAAATTTATGTGTAGTGTTATAATTATAATGAAATAAAATGAATTACGAAAATGTGATAATACACCCACTATTATAAGTAAATTAAGTAACACTCCTTCCAATGAATTGGTTGTGAATTAATCAATTGCTTATGATGAATGTCTTTTTTCTCAAATAATAAAAAGTATTATTAATATAAACAAAGATACTATTACAATTACAATCAATGACTAAGAATACAAAGTACAAACACATAAATGATCGTGCGCAACGCGAAAAATTAGAATTTATATTTTTTCTTAACAAACATTCACTAACTAATAATATCGACAAGCAAGAGTCAATTCAACGAGGATTGTGAATCAAATAATGATTTTTCTCATATTTAACTAAAATTATAAAAGCAATACAAGAAGAAAAAATAACTAAACTAATTGAAATCCTAATGAAACGAATAAATTCTAAACGAATATAATAAAATAAAATAAGAGAAATTTCTAGTTGACGTTTCTGTCTAAACTCTAGCTCGACTAGTCTAGTTAATTGTGACGTCAAGTTTCGCTATCTTCCGAAATTACTAGCTCTAAGTAACAACTGCTCTGCTACTCTAATTTTTCTCTTACCATATATCTAGTCGAAATACGCTTTCTGATTAAATCTAACTACTAGGTAGTCTAGAATACGCTCTCTAGATTTAATGCAATAACAACTTTAGGATCTAGGAAAATATGCTAGTTTAAGTAGTAGACTCAGACGCTCGGTCTACTTAATTAGACAGTGTTATTCCCGACAATTTTTTAATATTGTTTGCTACTAACGAATCGAATCTAACAACAAAACAGATTGTAAGTTCAATTCTAATATTAGACATGAAAAATCCTATATAGGCAATCAATCCAAATAAGATTAAATATATAATGTTTGATCAAACAAAATAAATATCTAATTTCATAAAAATAGTAAAATAATCAATCATTGAAATTAATCAAAACAAAGTAAGTAAAGTTTGTCAAAAAAAGTCGCCGATCCCCTTTTCTCTGTAACCCTAGCCGATCAATTTTCGTCGATTGAATCTCCCTCGCTGGTCGTCTGGGTCCATCGGTGGGCGGCCTCCATCGCTCGTCCATGGAGGTGCTGCCTTCTCCCCCTTTTTTGTTGTTTCTCTTCTGGCTCCGCGACTTTGACAGCAGCGAAGTTTCTCCTTCCTTGTGGGTCGCCGACATTCAAGATCAGAAGGCGAGGGGCGGGATATGGTGCTGGTCCATGGACGAGGTTGGGCTAGCTGCACTCGGTTTCGACTGGGCCGCTGGGACGTTGTTTATCTCCTTTTTCGCCCTTCTCGTCGCCGGTTGGGACTGCGCCTTTTCGCCGGCAAAGCGGTGATTGGTGGTGGCCTCCTCCTGTTTCGACATTCGCTGTGTCAATTGGAGGTATGCCCTCGATTTTGCTGCTTTTGTCTCGGTTTTTTATTTTGTCCGTGATCGGCGGGCTTCTTGGCGAGTGGGATTTGAGGGTCCACGGTTGATGGTCGTAGTCGCTGCTGGAGGCAGGTTGTTGTTTCCGATTAGGGCTCGGTCGATTGACTGTGTTCAGCTGTTTCGGGCTGGATTGAGGCGTGATTGCTGCTTCTCGTGATTGGAGTGCGGGCCAGCTCTTCGGTTGGTCCTGGGGTGCGGATTCCGTCTTGCTAGGCCTTCTGTAGTGGCAGACGGTTCTTTCCGTGCTTTGGAGCTGTCTGTGGAGTTGGTTTGTCTGCCGTAAATCTAGATGTATTTTGGCGGGGGAGGCTGTGCCCTCTGTCTTGTTTTCGTTTTTTAGTTTATTGTTGGTCTGTGTCTCTGTTTTTTCTCTGTTGTTTATTGTGTTTTTGGTATGGGCCGTTTGGCCTCTGTGAGCCCGAGTGTCACCTTATTATCTCATTGTGATCCGACACTCGGGTATTACTCTGTTGGGGTCTTTTTAGTTGTTAGTTGTTTTAGTTGTTTTAGTTGGTTAGTTTTAGTTGCGAGCTTTATTCTAGCGTTGCTAGTTGAGACTCTAGGCGGTCTTCTGACCTGTCCTCCCACTTTTTTCAGCTGTTGACTGTTGTGTATTCAGTCGTTGGTTGTTGTGTATTCCCACATTTGTGCATTTTGGTTTATAATATAATATATCGTTCTGGAAAAAAAAAAAAGTAAAATTTGTCATCTCGAAATTAGAAATAATAACTACACTAACACAATAAAAAACAGAAAAAGAAAAAAAAAATTATTATTTTTTTTTTTCCAAATTACCATTGGTGCGTGGTTTTCTTTTCATTTCTCCTTATTTTTTCTTCATGAGTCTCACCCTTTTTATTTGGTTGGTTAAAAAGTTTGTATGAACCTCATCCGTTGTTTTTTCTTCTTCTCCCAGAGTCACCCTTGGCCTTGGGCCGGCTTATTATCACGAACCGCTCAAGTAGAAGACAGAGTGCCACATGAAGAGTCACGTAGCGCCGGTCTCTACAGCTATCAAGGAGGTTACAAGAGGCCTTTAAATCAGTGTGGGGCTGTCCAGAATGTTTCGGAAGCATTGGAGGCGCCTTGGAACGAACAAGTACGTGGTAGAACGACCCGGGAGGGCTCGGATGCGCGTAGTGGACTTCGGATGAGCCGGGAGCATTCCATAAGTGTGGGAGCATTCCGGATGCATAGAGTATTCTATAATTATGGAGAACATTCTGGAACCATGTGAAAGGATCTAGAAATATGTGGAACCTCTGAGACTAATGTGGAGTCTTCTAGAGCCTTCCCAAATATTGTAGAGAACTTTAGTAAGGGCATGTGCATAGTAGAGCTTTGTAGAATGTTCTAAGATGTGTGTAAGAAGTAGAATTTTTGTAGAAGAGTTTAGGATCTAGAGAGTTCATAAAAGAGAAGGATGCTTATAAATAGGAGAGGCCCCTCATTTTGCCCATCCATCCAATAATCCAAGCTCATCCCAACACTCTTGTACAAATTTGAATGAATAATATATATATAAATGAAATAAAATATGTATTCCCCAAAATAATAATTAACAATAAATATACAAGTAAACAGAAAAAAAAAATGTAAGTTTTAGCGCACCATCTGGAATGATAGGCACCTCATTCTTAGTCTTCTTTCTTGAATCCATCATATAATATGATCCTGAATCATATTTTAACTAAGTAACTTCATCCTTCTTACTCGTCTTTCTTGAATCCATCTAGAAGAATTGATAGGCTTGGTAGAGGAATTGGTACAATAAAATTAAATTATAGAATCCATCTAGAAGAATTGATAGGCTTGCTAGAGGAATTGGTACAATAAAATTAAATTATAGGCTTGCTAGAGGAATTGTTGCTAGAGTATGTGTACAATAAAATTATAGGCGTACTCAATACATACATTTTAGAATATGAAAAAGTGCATTATGAGAAAGTTTATTTTAGTGAACATAAGTGTATTTTAGTGAACATAATAGATTTTGAGAAAGTTTATTTTAGTGAACATATAGAAACGCATTAGGATATAATCATCCGAGCAAAATATTTAGAGTTACATATATATACAAACATATCCTATCGCAATAAATCAAACAATTAGGGCAAAAATTTTCAATTCCTTGGATGATCATATAATCCAAGTCAACCACAATGCACACGTTATTATGGATTTGATTATATTAACATCAAATTCTTGCATATAACCACAATGTTAGAGCGCACAAAACTCCAAACATCCACTAATAATGAACACAAGGTTCTTTTGCAAAATAATTTAGATCCAACCACTTTGATCAAGCTAACTTCGAGAATCGAGATCAACAAAAAGTAATGAAATCATTTCCAAGGAAACTACACACAATAAACACTTCAATACATTTATATGAGCCACTTCCACAACCATCAAAAAGCTACCTTATGATTAAAGAAGATTTTTGCCTTTGCAATAACTCAAATGGATCATCTTCATATAACCAACTACTTTACTCGACCATAAACTTTAAATAAGTGAAATTCTTGTGATGCTCTATTCAACAGTTCTTGTGAGTAATGCTCAGCTTTTAGCCATAAATAATGACCAACAAAATCAAGAATCATCAAACAGCTTCGAACTTGATGCGCCGGAGGTGAGTGAGGGTCACATGCTGGGTGTGGTTCTAAGGATTCGGGACACCGTAGATGGTGTTCCCGGAGACCTTGCTCAAAAGCCGGAAGACGGCGGCGGGCCGACAGTGGTGGGGCGAGCGAGCTTCTCGACCGGGCCGCAAAGATTATTCCCCAAAAGGTCGATTCCGGTAACGAGATCTCCAGGAGAGTAAGGGATTCTGAGGAATTCGCACACAAACAATATCAAATTATGAGCCCTAGCTTACGAAAATTGTGGATGAAATGAAAAACCGATGATATCTGCTCTTTTATCTGAGGGTATTCAGTAAATTGAAAATCCCACTTAACTAAGTGGGATATGGTATCCCAAATAAGGGCCGGAATGTGGTGTCCCAATTTATAGGATAATTAGACGGACTTTGCACATTTCAAGGGCTAAACTTAAATGAGCCAACCTCCTTAAACTTGTGGAAATAATACAAATTAATGTGATATCAAGCCCAACCAATGCAACCAAACCCAGCCTTGAGCTGCCCATTAAGACCGGGCTCATCTCCCAGTCCAGCAAATGTGCTTTTGGTCATATTTAACTTAAATTTAATTAAATCTTTTTCAATATTATCAATATATTCTATAAATCACATTTTTTTTTTAAATTTATTATTCTTTCATTTACATAATTTTAACTACTGGTCATTTTGGATCAAGTCTCTCATACTTTTACATTAAATTAACTTTAATTATTTTTATTTTAGATGTTATTTTCAGACAAACTCAAAATATATTCAAACATAATCCAATTAATTTTCTCTCGTACTTTTACGTTAAATCAACTTTAATAATTTATTTTAAATATTATTTTAATACAAATTCAAAAATAATACAGCAATTTTTTGAAAATTAACTTTAATTAACTAAAAAACAAATCAAAACCAGAATATCTGTTTGATATGCCAAGCCATCAAATTTTCCCTTAACAAATGTAAGTTTAGAGGATATGTGTTGTACTATTTATAATTTTTTTTATAATATTATCGTTTCCTAACGAAAAAAAAAAAGTCCGAATTTTATGACAGAACGTATCTAATTCCAAGATTTTATACCATCGAGAATTTATGATTCACCATCTCAATTAATTTTTTTCCTTTTCTCCCCTCACCAAATATAAAGAATATATTCCATAGCTAATTTAATAAATTTATCCATCAATTATTTATTCTGAAAACCCCTTTTCTCTCGTCTTCTTCCTTTCTTATTTATTCTGAAAAAACACCAGCACAAAAGCCTGCAAAGTGCAAACTCCACTCAATTTCACTCTCCAATATCAAAATTAACCACCTCGCCAAAGAAGAAGTTCTAATCTTTTGAGATAAAAAAAACCCTTCACTTGCACTCCACCGGCGAACATTGGCGGCTCCAGCGACAACGCAGCGCTTGTTCGATAGCTATGGCGGGGTGAGGCGATTTTAGGGTCCTGTGTAGTCAGCCAAGAGAAAGAACAGAAAGGGTTGAAAAAATATCTGCGTGAGGACAAAGCCCCCTTTTTTTTTCGCTCGCTGTCTTTCACTTTCCATCATCTCCACCGTCATGGATATCAACAATGAGAGGTCCACACTCACAGTAAAGGTAGCCAACGTCCCGCCGTCCGCCACAGCCCAAGACCTTCTAACTTTCCTCGAGTCCAAATTAGGCAAAGGCACAATCTTCGCCCTCGAGATTTTCACCGAACGCAAGAACTGGAAATCCAGAGGCCATGGCCGCGTCCAATTCGAAGACCCGGAAGCTAAAAACGAAGCTCTGTCTCTGTCCAGCCAGAGAAAGCTTCTTTTTAAAGGGTTTTACCTCTCGATTTCACATTCTTTCAACGATATTATTTTCCGACCGGTGGAGCCTAGGAACCGGGTTGGGAATGGCGATGGGCTGGTTTTGCTTGCTGGGATAATGGTAAGGAGTGATTGCATGGGGATTTTGGAGTCGTGGGATGGGGTTAAGCTGTGGGTTCATCCTGAGAGGAAAAAGCTTGAGTTTTTTGTGGATCATGATGGAGAGAGTTATAAGCTGGAGGTGCAGTTTGGGGATGTGATTGAGACTAAAGGCTGTTGCTTGGATGGTGATGATACTAAAGTCGATGCAATACTTTTGACGGTATGGATTTTTTTTTTTCCTGCTTTTTTTGGCTTAAGTTTTTTGAGATTTTTTGTCCTTTCAGCTTTCAATGGAGTTGTCTTCTCATTCCATCTCTATCTGGGTGTGTGGTGGGTCTTTAGTTGGTGGAATTGGTCAATTTTATGCTGTGGCATTTAGTTCTTGTGTTGTCAATGGTGAAAGGAAAAATCAATGTGCAGTTGTTTGTTCTGTTTTTCTTTGTATCTTTGTATAGTAATCCATTCGTCAGTATGCATTGGCGCTGTCGTGACTTAGTTATTAAACTTTAATTCGTTATGGTGTTTTTCTAAATGCGCGTTGTTTTCTGGTATCATATGATTTGAGGCATATTTATCTGAGTGCATGAAAAAAGAAAATTATAGTGAACTTCAGAATTTTGTGTACAAAGGAGGTCAATTTATCTGTGTTTAGGCATCAACGGTTTAGTCCCTCTCTTTAAAATGTAACTTTTGTCAAATAAATGAATAAATCTAAACATCAATATTCAAATTTTATAAGGAATTGTAGGATAAGATAACAAACAGAGGTTTAGATGTGAACATTTGGAGTATTATTTTTTACTTGATTTTGGATTCAACTTGATAGTGGTGAAAGGTGTAATTCATAAACTAGTATCTATGGAGTCTAATATGTTAACTTGTGCTCTTGGATTTGATGCTAGGCTATATTTTTGTTGAGGTTGCTATGTAATTTGTAGTTTTTCACTTATTTTGCCACTTCAGCTTATGAATGATATCTTCCTGTTTGAGTTTTTTCCTTGTTCAATAATTAATGAATTTACTATTTTGGCTGTGTTGAACTTGAACCATGTTTCTGTTCAAAGTATGGTTTAAACTACATTCTTCCGTGAACCTTACTTCTGTCCATGTTTTCTCTTTTTGCAGCTCAAACACGCGCCGAAAATATTCAAAAAATTCTCCGGACCAAACATTGCCTCAAAATTCACACCCGATCGATATCACATCTGCAAAGAAGACTTTGACCATCTCTGGGTTCGAACAACCGATTTCTCCGAAGTGAAGTCAATTGGGCATTTGACTTCACTTTGTTGGGAAATCGAGGGCTCATCAAGCTTAGAAACTTACACCTGTCTACCGTACTATTCGAAAGACGTAATGGAACTATCTCTCGAAGAAGACCTAAAATTCGAGCACGTATCTGATTTAGTACCTATCGTCACTAATAATTTAGCACTCCCAGTACCTTACGAGGTCCTTTTCCAGCTTAATTCGCTCGTGCACACCCAAAAAACGAGCCTTACCTCTATAGACACCGAGCTTCTCGAGACCCTCTGCCAGTTAGACACAGACACCGCACTTCTAATCCTCAAGAAAATGCACAAACTGCACACCACTTGTTTCGAACCCAAATTATTCATCGAAAGTCAATCTTCTGTCACCCGACACAAACGAAAAAAAAGTTTTACTTCGTCAAGTTCAAAGTCTGTAAACGCTCAGAACACGATGAGCTGTCACCGCATACTGGTGACCCCTTCTAGAATCTTCTGCTTGGGGCCGGAACTCGAATCCTCGAACCACATAGTAAAAAATTTCGCTTCGTATGCTTCGGATTTTCTGAGGGTCACTTTTGTAGATGAGGATTGGGGAAGGCTTTCGGCACATACTGTCTCGACTGTTATAAAAAAAGAAATCTTTGCAAAGCCCTTCCGAACCGATATATACAATCGGATTGTATCTGTTCTTCGGGATGGTATTACTATTGGTGACAAAAAATTCGAGTTTTTAGCGTTTTCTGCTAGTCAACTCCGTTCGAACTCTGTTTGGATGTTTGCCTCGAACGAGTACATAAATGCGGACGATATAAGAGATTGGATGGGCTGTTTTAAAAAGATTCGGAGCATATCGAAATGTGCTGCTAGAATGGGACAGCTGTTTAGCTCGTCCATGCAAACTTTCGAAGTCCACCCAAGGGACATTGACCGAATACCGGATATCGAGATAGTTTCTGATGATGGCGTGAAATATTGCTTTTCGGACGGTATCGGGAAAATATCCTACGCGTTTGCTAAGGATATTGTCCGGAAACTCGGTCTGACTCACGTACCGTCCGCTTTCCAAATCCGATACGGTGGATATAAAGGGGTGATAGTCGTGAGCCGAAATTCCTTCCGGAAGCTTGCTTTGAGAAGCAGCATGCTGAAATTCGAGTCCGATAATTGCATGCTTAACGTTACGAAATGGAGCGAGTCTCAGTCTTGCTACTTGAACCGTGAGATTATTACGCTTTTATCCACTCTAGGCGTGGAGGATAATGTATTCCTCGCGATGCAGGAAGTACAACTTCAAGAACTCGGGAGAATGCTGACCGAAAAAGAAGCTGCGATTAGTGTTCTGGAAAGCACGGGAGGTGGCGAGATGAAGAGTTTGCTGACGAGGATGTTGATGCTCGGTTACGAACCGAAAAACGAGCCCTATGTGTTGAGAATGCTTAGGTCTCATCTCGAGACGCAGCTCATGGATTTGAGGAGTAGGTGTCGTATTTTCGTGCCGAAGGGGCGTGTGCTGGTGGGGTGTCTAGACGAGACAGGGATTTTGGAGTATGGGCAGGTTTTTGCTCGGGTGACGATGAATAAAATCGAAGCAGAATCGGGAGATCAGAAGTTTTTCAAGAGGGTTGATGAAAGTACGGCTGTAATTGTCGGTAAAGTTGTGGTGACCAAAAATCCGTGTCTTCATCCGGGTGATGTGAGGGTGCTCGAAGCCGTGTATGATGAGAGGTTTCGGAGGAGTAATCTGGTGGATTGCCTCGTTTTCCCTCAGAAAGGAGAGAGGTATCGTTTGTTTTTTTTCATTCAAACCAGGCAATCGGTAAATTAAATTTACGGATATTATTGTAAGCGTACACGAGCATTTTTTTCGGTTAAATTGCTAATTTTTACAGGCCTCATCCTAACGAATGCTCGGGAGGCGATCTCGATGGCGATCTGTACTTCATAAGCTGGGACGAAAATCTAATCCCACCTCGAACTGTGACTCCCATGGACTACACTGGTCGACGAGCTCGAATCATGGATCATGATGTGACATTAGAGGTAAATCCGTAAATATTTTTTGTTAAAACCGTCAATATATTCAATTTTCCCGTTTGTTTGGTGTGATAAAATCGAGTTTGTGTGAACTGGGCCAATGAATTGGGCTGGCGGTCAGGTCAATGAACCGAGCCAAAAAAAGACCCGATTTTTTTGGGTCCTAGGAAAGATTGAGCCCAAGCCCGTGAACAAGGCTTAAAAATTGACGGCTTTAATATTGTCGAATGTTTATTTATATATATGCAGGAAATTCAGAAATTCTTTGCGGATTACTTGATAAGCGACACCCTCGGCACAATCTCGACCGCACATCTGATCCACGCGGACCGCGAGCCCGAGAAAGCCCTCAGCCCGAAATGCCTCGAGCTCGCGAACCTCCACTCAATGGCCGTCGACTTCGCCAAGACCGGTGCCCCTGCCGAGATGCCCTCATACCTTAAACCCCACGAGTTCCCCGATTTCATGGAGCGTTGGGAGAGGCCCACTTACGTCTCGTGGGGCCCACTAGGCAAGCTCTACCGGGCCACAATCCGTTTTGTCCGCCAAACAAAGCCCAAGGCCCGTGATAATATAATCCCTCACGAGATCTCTCCCGACTCGTACGATCACGACCTTATTGTCGATGGTTACGAACGGTTTTTGAAAACGGCCGAAACTCACAAGGAGACGTATTTGGACAAAATGGGGTCACTCATGAGTTATTACGGGGCGGAGAGCGAAATCGAGATACTCACCGGGAATTTGGAGAAAAAGTCGGGTTATTTGCAGAGGGATAATCGGAGGTACGGGGAGGTGAAGGATCGGGTTTTGGTTTCGGTCAGGAATTTGACGAGAGAGGTCAAAGGGTGGTTTGAAGGGGAGTGTGGTGGCGGCGGAGAGGATGGTCGTCGCCAGCTGGCGGCGGCTTGGTATCACGTTACGTACCACCCGAGTTATTCGGGTGGGAGTGGTAGGGGCTGTTTGGGGTTTCCTTGGGTTGTTGGGAATGTGTTGATGGATATTAAATCGGCCAAACACGGTGTAATCGTGGAGTATGTTGCCGAGTGAGTGATATCACGGGATGTATCGGGCCTGAAATTGGTGATCATTTTTACCTTAACTATGTTTATTTATCAGGATTCTGGGCTTATTGTGGCCTTTGATAATTCTAATGGCTGAAGACTGACATTATTACTGTTGCTATTTTTCTGATTGTAATCCCTTTGTGAAAGATGATATTATAATCAGAAGAAAGCTTTTTTTTTTTTTTTTNAGAAAGTATTTAGCATCAGTGGTAATAGTACAGAAATTAGAAAATTAAACCAATGAACTAGGGAAAATCGAAACTTAGAAAATTCGTTAGTATTCCACCATATGTACATGGCATATGTTTTCACTTCAGTTGGAATTGTGGTAAGCTATCTAGTTTTTTATGATAATAAGGCCGAATAAGTGCTTAAATATTTAACTCATTAAATTATCACTATATTTTTGGGTAAGATATTCATGACGTAATCATTTATTTTATTATGCATTTGAAGAAAATGTTTCATCAATTTTGGATGTTACAGTACTTAATTATTCTAATCATAAACAGATATCTTCACAAATCACAAGTGCAACTGATGTAACTAATTATAATAAATTTTGGTTCACTTAGGCAAGTCAATCCTATTGTTTTTTAAATATGAAATTCTCTAGTATTCGTGTGATCAATTGTCATGTATTTGTTGCTTTTTTAAGTATAACATTTTCTACTAAAAATATACGTAAGAAAATTATTTGATATTTTGTCTTATTAAAGTATAACATTTTCTACTAAAGACATACATAAGAAAATTATTTGATATTTTATCTAATGATTACGCAATAGTAACTACTATTGGTATCTTTACTTAAAATTAATTGGAATATTGTTATTTATATCCATTCAAAACCATCGATACATCTACAAATATGCTTGGCTATAAAAATAAACAATTATAAAGTATAACTAATCTATAGTAAAGGTTGAGCATTACCCTAATCTTTTCCTTAATCTTTTTCCACAAGAAAGTTGATATTTTCGTGAAAAAGAAAAGATCAACGAAAAAACACAGCACCATATTCTCACATGTACTAGAATATGCCTTTCCCAAATAGATAATGCAAATCGAAATAAAATCATCGAGGAAAATAAAGGCAAAACAAACGGGGTAAAAGTGTGTTTTCAACCTAAATTTGATTGCACCTTACCAAAACTTTCCACATCAAAAAAAGAAAAAAGTTTCATCCCTCAATCAAGAAAACAATAATAAATTAAAAAATCACAAAAATAAAAAAGATAAAAATAAAAATCAGTTACACACACTTTTGGATATCTCAATCAAGAAAACAATAATAAATTAAAAAATCCCAAAAAGTAAAAAAATAATAATAAAAGTAAAAATCACCAACCAAGAGTTACAATCATTCACACTCCAATAATGGAATTTTCCCTAATAATATATTATATACACAGTAACATTTTGAGGGTTTTTCTTTTTTTTTTTAGAAAAAAAAAAAATTGCCTTACTGAAATGAGCTGTGTACGAAAATGATTGGGTATTGCCAACTAGGCTACACCCACCCCCAAATCGACGGCGGGGATTAACCGGGAACCGATCAGGCGGCGGCCGGCGTCCCGTCCCTGCCGATATCCACCGACCCCTTGGCGTACCTCGACGAGAAGTTGCGGGACCCGTAGTAGTACCCGTCGCCACCCTCCTCATCCGACCGGCCGCCGCCCTCGTCGAAATTCATGGCGTAGCTGATTGAGTCGTACTGGAAATTCGCGTGCCTGGCCGGTGCCCGGCTCCGATTGAACCGCCGGATGAACGTTTTCCACCTCGGACCGGCCACGATCTCCGACCACTCGCGGATCTTCCGCAGCGCGACCACGCCCCGGGCCCACAGGGAGGCCTCGCCGGCCTCGGGCGGCCGGATCCTGCGCCACCAAGCCGGCCGGGCGGCGGAGGGGCTTTGAGGAATCGAGGAGGGCCGGTCGAAGCAGGGGAATAAGATGTAGCAGCGGCTCCGGTGGCCGCGGGTGGAGGTTCCGGCGGGAGTGTCGACGATTTGCGGCGAGATGTCCATTAGAGGCTTTTGTAGCTTATAATGTGTGGATATTTTTTATTAATTAGGTTGAATGGGTGGTTTGTTACATATGTAGGGAGATGATAGTAGGTGTTTTTTTGGGAATATAAATTAAATGGAAAATGATTGATTGGGAAAATGGGGAAATGTGTGGGATCGGATATAAGATTTTCTGGAAATATTTCATTATTTTGTCCAGTTGAAAAAATGAGAAAAGGTAGTGAAAAAATTATTATTAGAAAAAGTAAGATAAATTAAAAATTGTGAATGCATATCATATAAAATGTAATGATTTATTAAAATAATAATTAATGAGGTTGATAGTTATAGATAAGTGAATGAATAAATTTTTCGATTGAATAATATATAATAGTTTTTTTTTTATGTTAGTAAGATTTGTTGAGAAAAAGATGAAATTTGGTTAGACAAACAAACATGAAAATTTTCAATATCCAATGACACCCGCAATACTTTCGAAAGTTGGGCAAAGCAAAAAGAACAAATTAAAGAAAGAGCGAAATTATATATACATTTGACATTAGGAATATTAAAAAAGATATAAATATAATAATAATTAAAATTAATGTCATATAATAATAATAATAATAATAAAATATTAATTAATTACGATTATGTATAGGTGAATAGTGTTCTTTTTATTCAAGAAGAATCCTAAATGCTATTTCTTTTGCATTAAATTTGTTAATGAAATTGAAGAATAGTGTGTCTTTGAAAAAATCTTTTATATCCATTTACTATGAGAAAAAGTTGTCCATCAAACAAACCAATAGATTTCAATATCTAATCTTCACCTCCACCAGTCTCAAACTTTGTTATGTAGTAATATGCATCCTTGACCTTCACCAGTTTAATAGTTGATATATTATTGTTTAGTAGGAATATAGTTTGAAATGAATAGAAAATACAAGAGTTTTTCTTTCTTGGATATAGTTTATACCAAAAATCGGGTTAGGCACCCGCCATAACCCCCCGAGATGTCGCCTAAACGTTATAAAATGCATACTTATGCTATAAAATGTCATGATTTGAAATATGACATTTGAGTGTAGAAATATATAGTTTGTTGGAAAAAAAAAGTATGACTGCCTAACTATTAGGCAGCCTAACACTACCAATCGAATAAACAAAACTCGTAAAACTGATGGAAGTTTTCGAAGTCAGTGTAGATCCAGTTGATCTAATATTGTGTTCATCTAACTAAAAAATCACTGAAATTGATATCAATAATCAAAGAATTAAACATTTTGAGCACAAGGGCAAGTAATAGAAGCTGCAGCAACATATTTGTCTTCTAAAAGTATAAGAAACAAATGAAACAACACAACACCAAAAAATAAAAAGAAGGGGCAGTCTAAAAACAATTGTAACTTAGCAAGTTAGATAAGGTTGCTACAAATTCATGATGTCCACAAAAAAATTCAATATAAAAAATGATGAGCAAAATGAATATCCTACACAAGAAGGATGGACAAAAAAAATATAAATATACATCACAGACATTGTTATCAGAAAATAATTCTTTCAACGGTTGAACAAAAGTTGCACATATTGATGTGTTGACAATAATGAATATAAAGTGGATTCAGAATATGCATGTATACCACGAAACCTAATATAAAATACAATCAACAGATAATCAATTGTCGAAAGAATATATAGGAATCATTTGCTTGCCTAAAAATGCTTGTCACAAACTAAACACACACATTAAAACAAAACAAAACAAAACAAAAAGGCATTGAGAGAGTATAAAAATGGGTTAAAACGCAATCAAAGTGAAGAAAACAATTCAGGTAACAACCGAGCAAAGCTTTTGATTTCAATATATGATGATTAAATATTTGGTTTAGCTAATTAAATGGAGAGAAATGAATAATAAAGATGTAAGAGGAGATTTTTCATAATAATCCCCAGAAAGGATATCATATCTTACCAAAAGCATGTTTGACAATATACATCTCACTCTGGAAAATAACAGACCAACAAAAAACTTGGCATATTCCACTTCGCAAAATAATATCGAGGTTTGCAAATTTCAAATTGTTCTATTACGGTCCACAAAGATAAGTCCACTTGTCAAGATTCATATCATCAAGAAGGGACATCGTAATGAAATCGATACATCATTCAATATTTCTCATGATAAATACAAACCCAATATAAAATATTTTCTTAAATATATATATTTCAACATGCAGCCCATAGGACCAATGTTTGTCTTGATCATATCATATTATATAAATCCAAAACAAATCGACCCACAGAAAAACTTCCATTCTCAAGTTTACCAGGAAAGCTACAAATAAGAAACCAAACCAAAACACTCACAAAAACAAACATACATCAAATCCAAAAGAATTGCAATAAGCACAAGGCACAATGTCACAAGTGAAAGTACCAATTCATCTACTCACTGTTTAGCCAAATTAACACAAAAAAACGTACTAATATTCACAATACTTACCTAAATTTCCATAGCTTTCCCAAACCCACGATGAACTTTCCCGTACACCAGTCCAGCTTCATCCGAACTCAAGGCATCAATCGCAATCGCACCAAAAACTGCACGAAATGCACCACACACAACTGCAGGGGACGTGACATTCGTTTTCCGGGACACCCTCACTACATTCTGCAACCCCAAATGCGTCCCATCAGCATTGCAGGAACTCTCCACCTTCGACACGTCAGCAATCACACGGTTCAAATCCTTGGCCGATATATCCACATTCTTGATAAAAGCCTGCAATGAGACTGAGGTCTCGATAACACTTGCGCCCAATATGCTTAGAGCTTTATTGTTCTCCTCCGAGAAGGAGGCATGTGTCATTGCACGCCTCAGTAGTCCTACACTCTTAAATGTATAGCTAACAGAGAAAAAGAAAAAGAAAAAGAAAAAAGAAAAAACAAAGTAGAAACATTAATAACAAGGCGAACGGCAATTGAACTTTGAACTTCACTAACCACAAGAATTAGATATGTATACATCATAAAGTTGCTAAAATTTATGTCGTGGGATCACAAACAAAAGCATAAAATTTGCAATGCACAACAATATGCAGGTGAAACCCATTAAACTACAAATGAAATCAAGTAAAACAAACCCACAATCTCCTCGGGCGAACATTTATTGCCCGCCCGGTTAACTAATTATGTTAAAATGAGTTAAGTGAGGAGTTACTTGATCTGCTTCTGGAGATTGTCGAGGGCAACTGAGAACGGCGTCGAGACTTTAAACGGGGGCTTTACCAGCAAAGATGGGTCTCTCGCAAAAGCCTGTAAAACACAAAATAAAATACGAAAAACGGGAAAGAAAAAGAAAAACAGTAAAAGGTAAGGTTCGACATGATTTGGGGTTCTCAAGAATTGGGACAAAAAAGGGTTTCTGATCGTATGATAGAAGTATTGTTGGCTTTAACACTCACCGGCGTAGAGAAAGAAAGTAGACTGAGCAAGATGAGGATGAGGAAGACGGGCCGGAACTCCATTTCTACGCACTGTAATTTTGCTCCGACGATGTGAAACTGTGAAATTTTGAGAGGTGAAAGGCTAGCGGAGTGCGTGTGAATGTGATGATGACTGATATTTTCAGATTCTCTATTTTACCTTTTCATTTTTCATTTTTTTTTTTTTGTCAAAAATATATTCAATACATCATTTTTTTTCAATATGGTGTTATTTTTTAAAGTAAGAGGCCCAAAAGGAACGGCCCAATCGAATTCTTCTCACAAAAATCAGAACCTTCACAATAAACTAGATTTGAGCCTCCATTTCCCGGTTCCTATCCGGGCCGGTGCGTACCTTTGATTTCGGACCGGCCTGGTTCAATTAAAAAAAAAAATAACAAAATTTATTATTATTTTTTTTAAAGAGTCGTACTGTAGGTTTTAGTTTCGGTTCAGAACCGGTCCATATGTTAAAAAACTAAAAATGTGTGATCCGGAATTAAATCGATCAAACAACGGACTCAGTTCAAGGCCCGTTGACCACGAATCAATTCGGGCCGGGCCGGCCATGTCTATTGTCAAATTGTATTATCGAATACCTGATAACACGTAGTAATAGCTGATTTAATAAAATATTAATTGATTGTAAATAAGTATTTGGTAAACAATAGTTTGTATAACTATTTAAAAATATTATATTGATATGTTAATTTACAAATAATTTTTCTCAAAAAGCTCTTATATTGAGCTTTTTCACTATTAGGATTTTGAGCTAAAAAATATAATCAAATAAGTTTTTTACTAAACAAGTTAATTAGCAAGTTTGATGGTCAAATCTCTATATGAGATTCAATCCACTAATTATACGCCAATCCGTTAACATCTAAACAATGCTGCTAGCTTACACTTTATTTTCATTAATTTATAAAATTCTTGTATTTTTAAAGTATGTGATATGGGATACCGTATTGGATTAACTAAACCCGAGAAATAGCACGACCGAACCAGATGAACCAGCAGGTCGAACGGACATCAAAAGCATTAAGGACGAAGAAGCCTTAGATCGAGGGACGCGTCGTTTATCCAAGGAACACCGACAGGTCGAACTAGGGCCTCGGATGACCTGATTGAAACTCGATTTGAAGGTACGAATGGTCGAAGGATGGACCAGAGGAGTAGAGCATACGAGCTCGACATCATTGGTACTTTACCTTGAGGTAATTGAGGTCGGTTGCACCATTAGACCGTCTATTAAAGAAGACTAAAGAATAAGAAGGAATATTATTAGGATAAGTTCCCCACGTGGATAGGGTCACGTGGCCTAACAGAATTGGGTAGTTCGGGCAGTACGAACAGACAGTCTTGGACAATAAGGTAACATCTCCCTATATAAGGGAGTGAGGTATGTCCATTATTATATTATATTCGATACACTCTCTGCATACTTACATACTGCATATCATCTTTTTACAATGTGCTAACTTAAACATCGGAGACTCTTCACCAAATAACCCCTTTGGTGTGGAGTTTTTGTAGGTCTGAAGAACGATCTACCAGCGAAACAACCAGATCAGGTCAAAACCGAGTCGATTGAGGGTCATTTCATAATAGTATGAAATCTAAATATGCAAATATGTATATTTTTTGGAAGAGTATTCGCCAGTCTAACCAAAAAGTACTGATAGTGGAATTGGATGACTTAACACAAATATTTTACACATAATTTGTTCAATATTGATATCATAACATAACATATATAACCTTATGGACATGAATCTTTTTCACCCTACTATAAAACTATATTGTGTTTTTATATCGCCTGCTGATAATTAAACTTTTTCACTAAAAACTGCGAAGGGTTTTGCGAATAGACCACATAACCGTTGTATATCCACTGTATAATTATCATATATTCATTGCACAATGTCTTCGCCTTTAACTTTTTCACTCTATAAAGTGCGAATGACCGCATGATTGTTGCATATCCATCGCATAAGTGTCACATATTTATCGCACAATGCCTTCACATGTTTTGGAGGAAAAAAGTTAATTTGTTAGCCGGCGATGTGAAAAATTTAATATGTTCACATAGTAGGATGAAAGTAGCTTTTTTTCACTAGTTTTATTTGGCTATTAACTTTTAATGAATAGGGAATAACTAATAATAACTTATAATAACTGATTTGAAGACTAGTTAATTGTATTATCAAATTGCACAGTTTTACTATGGAATTATCGGATGGCTCGGCTTACGGAGCCATCCACACTTATTCACCAATAGTGTATTGACACGTGTCCTGCAATAAATACACTTTGGACAGGTGTCAACACATTAAGTGGTGGATGACTTCATAAGAAAACCATCCGATGACTCTATATAATTTTTGTCAAATTGCAAATAACTGTTTGGTAAATTCAAATTTGTAGTCATTATGAAAATTTTATGTTAACATGTTATTTTGCAAATTATCTATACCCAAACTCTTCTATATTGAACTTTTTTTAGAATTAGCATTTTCCGTCGAAACTCTAATAAATTAAGGGCTTGATTGTTTATGAAATAATTTACTCAATTTTATTCCATACTCAAAATCTAACTCAACTCCACTATCTTTAATATTATTTATATCATTAAATAGAATAAACTAATCATTCTTATACATCACATCAACTTTAATTCACTATTCATCCACTCACATAATTTTAACTACCTATCATTTCCAATCATTTATCTCTTACTTTTACATCAAATCAATTTTAATCATTTTATTTTAAATATTATTTTAATTCATTCTTAAAATTCCACTAACTAATTACACCACCTTTTTCAAAATTAACTATAATTAACCAAAATAATTTATTTTGAACAAATTATTTCATAAGCAATCAAGCTCTAAGCTCTTTACCTAAAATGATTTGACGTGACAAACCTCCAAATTAAATTCAATCCATTAATTTTACACCAGTGCACTAACATCCAAATTGACTCCATAACCCTACACTATGAACTCCTCTTTACATCATCACTAACATATGATACATTTCCTTCCTATTGGCACAGATCACTGAAGAAACCAAAGTTTGCAACAATTTTAAAACGTGGATACCATGTTTATAACTTCAATCACGAATTGAAGTAGAGCTTCTAAGTTCTAACATGTGATACATGATTTCCTTCCTATTGGTACATAACATAAGAAACCAAAGTTTGCAAGAATTTTAAAATGTGAAAACTATGTTTATAACTCAATCACAAATTGAAGTACAAACCATAAAGCTACCAAATTTGTTTACCTTGACCAATAAGAAACCCAAAAAAACGGAACATCTCATGCAATTACTACATCTCGTAAATCAAATCAATCAAAATTACTACTAACAAATCCTCCCATCTTCTTCTCCAAGCAAGCCAAAAAAAAGAGCCAAAAACCCTCCTAATTTCACTCCCCAAACACCCCTATAAAAACCACACACACAAACCCACTTTTACCAATTCCCACACCACAATTTTTTAAGCAGTAACTTTTCCCAAATTTTCACCGCAGTAACTTTTTTCCCCACCCCACTTTCACATCTCCACCGCCTTATTTTTTTCTTCTTTTTTTTTTCCCCCACCACTTGCCGCCGATGGACACCGTCCTCAGCTCGCTCGACTCCGCCAAACCCGACAACTCCCACGTCGTGTGCCCCACCGGCACCTCCCCCACCACCGCCCTCCACGACTCCTCCTCCCACCACCACCACGCCACCGCCGCCCCCGATGCAACCCTCGGACGCCACCTGGCCCGCCGCCTCGTCGAGATCGGCGTCCGGGACGTCTTCTCCGTCCCCGGCGACTTCAACCTCACGCTCCTCGACCACCTCATAGCCGAGCCGGGCCTAACCAACGTCGGCTGCTGCAATGAGCTCAACGCCGGCTACGCGGCCGACGGCTACGCCCGGCAGAGGGGAGTCGGCTCGTGCGTGGTCACTTTCACGGTCGGCGGGCTTAGCGTTCTGAACGCGATTGCCGGCGCGTATAGCGAGAATCTGCCCGTGATTTGTATTGTTGGTGGGCCCAACACGAACGATTTTGGGACGAACAGGATACTGCACCACACGGTCGGGCTGCCGGATTTCAGCCAGGAGCTCCGGTGCTTTCAGACGGTCACGTGTTATCAGGTGAATGATATTTGCTGTTAAAATATCAGATGATGGGGCAGTTTATAATGTGATGTGTTTTGATTGATGTTTTATGTTGAATTTTTTTGTGTTGATTTGGAAAAAGTTTTGTTCTTTTGGATCTTGATCGATTTGCAATGTAGTGAAAATTGATAGGAATTTTGGGTTATGCATGTTTTGTGCGAGAAAAATGACAGTGCTCTCACCTTGTTTTATAATGGATTAAACTGTAAAAAACCTGGTGATGCCTTTTGGTTTTTATATTGGATTTTGTGAATTGTGCTCTGTTTTGATTTGAAAAAAGTTTCGTTCTTTGCATTTTGATTGTTTTATATTGTACTGAAAATCGATAGTTACTTGGAGTTGTGTCTTCTGTGCAATGCTATCCATTTGGTTCAAAATATTCGATCAAGATTTGATTTTTAATTCGAAAAATGCTCTCTTTTTTCTTAGATTTGGTACGTTGTTTCTGTATTCTAGTTATGTAATTTGATTGAGTTATGCGGTAGGATCAAATCTTCCTTTTGCGCCATTGTATCCTTTCGGTTTTAAATATTCTATCAAGATTGAATTTTTAACATGAAAGATGCTATCTTTTCCACTTCAAATTGGTACATTGTCTTTGCATTCTAGTTATGTAGCTCAGTTATATTTGTTTCTGTTTGATATTTGCATGAAACTCATTAAGCACTCATCAACTACATACTGATTTTGATGATTATAGCATGCATATATATGTTACTCCTCATGCCACTAGTAATAGTATTCTGCAAATTGGAGGCTATTGTTCACTAAAACACACTCAAATCTATCAAATTCAAAGCTTTGATACTCAATTTAACAAAATTTCCTTACAATCTCAGGCTGTAGTGAATAATTTGGAAGATGCACATGAACAAATTGACAGAGCCATCTCCACAGCTCTCAAAGAAAGCAAACCTGTGTACATTAGCATCAGCTGCAACTTGCCTGGAATTCCCCACCCAACTTTCACCAGAGAACCTATCCCTTTTTCCATCTCACCAAGGTAAATTAACTAATCAATAGTCATCAATCAAAACTTGCCATAATAATAATTAAAAAATAAAAATCGAATCTTTGCACAGATTGAGCAACAAACTGGGCCTCGAGGCCGCTGTATCAGCCGCAGCCGCTTTCCTCAACAAGGCCGTGAAGCCCGTTATGGTCGGCGGGCCCAAGCTCCGGGTCGCCAATGCGGGCCGGGCCTTCGTCCAGCTGGCAGACTCGTGCGGTTACGCTGTATCCGCAATGCCCTCCGCAAAAGGGCTCGTCCCCGAGCACCACCCGCACTTCATCGGCACCTATTGGGGGGCTGTTGGGACGCCATTTTGCGGTGAGATAGTCGAGTCGGCCGATGCTTATATCTTCGTGGGCCCGATTTTCAACGACTACAGCTCGGTGGGCTATTCGCTATTGCTCAAACGGGAGAAGGCTATTATTGTCCAGCCAGATCGGGTCGTGATTGGAAACGGGCCCACGTTCGGGTGTGTGCTCATGAAGGACTTCTTGCACGAGCTGGCGAAGAGAGTCGAGCGAAACACGACGGCTTATGAGAACTACAAGAGGATTTATGTTCCGGAAGGTCTTCCGATTAAGAGCGAGCCAAATGAGCCCTTGAGGGTGAATGTTCTGTTTCAGCATATTCAGAAGATGCTTTCGGGTGAAACGGCCGTCATTGCTGAGACAGGCGATTCTTGGTTTAATTGTCAGAAGCTTAAGCTTCCCGAAGGATGCGGGTAAAGTCACGATTTTTTTTCTCTTTCTTTCTTTCGTTCGTTCTTTTGTTTGTTTGTTATTATCATCACTGTTGTGTTATGTATTTGGGTTAATTGTGTTTTGAGAGTGATGTGAGTAAATGAAAGATGGTTTTGTAGATACGAGTTTCAAATGCAGTACGGTTCGATCGGGTGGTCGGTTGGTGCTACATTGGGGTATGCTCAGTCGGTGCCTAAAAAACGAGTCATCGCTTGCATTGGTGATGGTAGCTTTCAGGTGACATTTTTTTCGAATAAGTAGTCGAAAATTAGGCATTTTTCCAGCAGAAGCAAAAAAAGTAGGCCTTTTTTTTTGAATTAGTAGAAAATTGGGCATTTTTTCGAACAAGTAGTCGAAAATTAGGCACTTTTCCAGCAGAAGCAAAAAAATTAGGCATTTTTTTTCGAATAAGTAGTCGAAAAGTAGGCATTTTTCCGAATAAGTAGTTGAAAATTTGGCATTATTCCAGTCGAAAGCAAAAAAATTGGGCATTTTTTTCGAATAAGTAGTCGAAAATTAGGCATTTTGCGAATAAGTATGTTATTTAAGGTCATTAACTGGTTACAGGTGACAATGCAAGACGTGTCGACTATGATTCGAAACGGGCAAAAGAGCATAATTTTCTTGATAAACAATGGCGGTTACACCATCGAGGTAGAAATCCACGATGGCCCATATAATGTGATCAAGAACTGGAACTACACTGGAGTAATCGACGCCATTTGTAACGGCGAAGGAAATTGTTGGACTAAAAAGGTACACACACAAAAAAAAGGAGGAAAATATCATTCATCACCAAGGAAAAGATTGAATCTTTACATGTTCTTGGAGGTTATTTTAATTTTTTTTTGTTGTTTTTTTTTTGTAGGTTTATTGTGAGGAGGATCTTATTGAGGCTATAGAGACAGCAACTGGAGAGAAAAATGATAGCTTGTGTTTCATTGAGGTGATTGTTCACAAAGATGATACAAGCAAAGAGCTTCTTGAGTGGGGTTCAAGGGTCTCTTCGGCAAATAGCCGCCCCCCAAATCCACAGTAAATTAGTTAATATTCAATAATTATAATTAATGATGATTATTTACTAGGTTTTTTTTGTTTTTTTAATGGATATCGTTAGCTTTATGGTTGAAACTTGGAAGGGCTGGTTTATGAGGTTTGCTTTCTGAACGAAAGAGTTATTATCTTGAATTGCATTTTTTCACATTGTTGGTGATTAGAATATTTGATGGCTTGTTTCTTATCATTTGATTTGATTAATTAATCAATTTCCTACAAAGACTATCATGTGTTATGGTATAATTATTGCTAAACATTTTCTAAAAAATATTTATTTATACTTGATAAATGCCTTCACTTAGAAATGAAATGAGCCGCTGTGAACTCGATTTGGTTTGACTCATTCATTAAGGTAGGCTCTAGTTCATTTAAGGTTTGTTTAATTAATAAGTTAAACTTGAAAAAATTGAGTCTTTACGTAATTTCTTGAACTTCTAACATTAATTAACGTATTAGTTTAACGAGTCGAAATAACTCCACTCGGCTAGTTTACCAACACTATATGGAATTATATGAAAATATGATAATTCAAGAAAATATATGAAAATTTTCCGCAATAAGTTAACCATAAATATCTTTCTTCTTTTTTAGTGTAAACATTAAAGTCCAGACACCAACAAAATTATCCATTCTAACTTGAAATATAATTATCCATTCTAACTTGAAATTGAATATATGATTATATTCTGTTGAACTATTAAACAATAAACTAAATTACAAGCAGAAATAAAAAAGGGACATTTTTGGCCCAAACTACCTTAAAGTACCTTTAAGGCTTTGACCAGCCGACCAACACAAAATCCACTCGCCTTCCCAAACACCAACTCAAATCGCAAAGCGCAATCAAAATCTGCACACCAGAGCATGCCGGGTCCGGGCCCGCACATGATCTACGCACTCGGGTCGGGTTAGGGCCTGATACACGTATGAAACGGTAGATTCGGCCCGCACCACTATGTCACCTACGCCGTCAACGCCTTCTTCGAACCGGACATCGGTTCCTTCTCCGAATGGCTGACCTCAACCCTGAGTTTGGGCCAGGTCTTCGGCACCTCCGTCGAGACGTGGATCCACGACCCGTTTTACTACGCTCTGATTCTGAGCTTCCCTTTGGCACTACTCTACAGTTGGGTCTCGCGAATTTTGGTCTAAAAGAGGCGTTCTTGGTTCGTTCTATGGGGTAGGGGGTAAACACGGCTAAAGTACATAGAGACGCCTCAAAGTAAAGCTAATACCTAAAAAGCGCAGTACCACTACCGTGTGCCCTGACACACCAGTATTACACGCGTCTCACTCTCAAAAAGTTAGAAAATTTAGAAGGTGTAGTGCACTCTCCCAATTTTTCTTTTTTAATGAAAAAATGAGACATATTACATAAATTAAAATATCATTAATTATTTATATTAAAAAAATAAAATAAAAATACCAAAATTTATAATTTTTCATTATCTATAAATAGAGACCACATTTGATAGGTTTTTGAACACAACTAATTTTCGTTTTTTGGTAACATGTTCACCTTATTGTGTATGTAACATGTTCATTTTATTTTATAACATGTTCATTTTATTATGTAACATGTTCATTTTATTCTATAACATGTTCATCTAATTTTCATCTGTGAAAATGTAACATTTTCATCTTATTAGAGAGGATTTTGGTTTGTGAAGGTGGAGGATATTCGATCGAAAGACTAATTTATGAAATTTCTTTTACATTCTACTAGTTTTTCACTTTCATTCCCTATAGTATGACTATTGCATAAATTTGAGTTCTTATATGTAGATTATGGTTTATTATTTCGGGGCGGGGGTGCTTGCATTAAACGAGTGAAAGTCGAGCAAGAAATTGACCATAATTTTGTGTATGAAGTGGAAATTGGAGAAATTAAATAATGTGAGAGCCCGTGATGTAGATATGGAATCTAAACATGTTCATCTTATTCTATAACATGTTTATTTTATTATGTAACATGTTCATCTTATCCTATAACATGTTCATTTTATTATGTAACATGTTCATCTTATTTTATAACATGTTCATCTAAATTTCATATGTGAAAAATGTAACATTTTCATCTTATTAGAGAGGATTTTGGTTTGTGAAGGTGGAGGATATTCGATCGAAAGACTAATTTATGGAATTTCTTTTACATTCTACTAGTTTTTCACTTTCATTCCCTATAGTATGACTATTGCATAAATTTGAGTTCTTATCTGTAGATTATGGTTTATTAATATCAGGGCGGAGATGCTTGCATTAAACGAGTGAAAGTCGAGCAAGAAATTGACCAGAATTTTATATATGAAGTGGAAATTGGAGAAAATAATGTGAGAGCCCGTGATGTAGATATGGAATCTAAACATGTTCATCTTATTCTATAACATGTTCATTTTATTATGTAACATGTTCATCTAAATTTCATCTCTGAAAAATGTAACATTTTCATCTTATTCTATGACATGTTCATCTTACTCTATAACATGTTAATCTTACTATGTAACATATTTATCTAATTATATATTTGCGTCACAATCTTCCAATAAGATAAATTAATTGTAAAAAATGATAAATTAATTGTGTTCCAATGTTCATATGTTCATCTTACTATATAACATGTTCATATGTTCATCTTATTTTATAACATGTTCATATGTTCATCTTATTGTGTAAATATGTAACATGTTCATCTTATTATGTAACATGTTCATCTTATTGTATAAAATGTTCATCTAAATTCCATCTGTAAAATTATAACATTTTAATCTTATTCTATAACATGTTCATTTTACTATATAACATGCGCATCTTAGTATGTAACATGTTCATCTTATTATATATTTGTGTCATCACCTTCCAAAAAGATAATTTAATTATAAAAAATGATAAATTAATTGTGTTCCAAAACTTATCAAATGTGGTCTCTATTTGTAGAGATTTAAAAATTATGAATTTTGGTATTTTTATTTTTATTTTTTAATATAAAATGTGAATAATAATTTAATTTATATAATATGATATGTAAAATTTATTATCCAATATATATTGGACACTTGTCTTTTTTAAACAAAAAAAAAAAAACTTGCATACCTTATTCCTTACCTCACGCGATTTTAAGAGATAGTGCATTTCACACATGCCCTGGCACACCTAAGTATTTGTGTAAAAAGCGAGATGCAAAAGTTAATCACAACTTTACGAGCTCCTTCAGTTTTAGGACTTCGGAAACGTCACTATTATAACCTTGTCAGACTTGACAGTTTTTTGAGTTTAAAGAGTAACTAGTACAACACCCATGTATTACATGGGTGGCGACGGTGTCTCGTTTATGGACGGATTCATAAAAGTGAGATGGGTATCCGGACAAGTCAAATCCAAGACCGTCCCGGCTGGCGCCCATCCTTACTATAAATAATCAACATATTATAGATAATCCGAACCTAAATATATTTGGATTAGAAGTAAACTAAATCTACCTAAGCCTAATAACGAAGCATGTATTTTTGCCACATAGGATCCCGGAGCATGCGAGCCTGCCACATAGGCTCAGCACGTTCTCAATTAATATATAAGGAGGGATTACCATTTTTATCCATTAAAACTTAATTAATTCCAGCAATAAACGTTGTTAATGACCAACTCATACTATTAGCTCATTTTCTCTCTCCAATAAGTATATCAAATAATTAAATTCCACATTTAAATTTATATTTTTTTTTTATTTTAAATTGCTCCAATCTCTTCTTTTTTTTTTTTTAACCCTTTTTGTGTGTTCTCTTAGGTTTTCATCTCTAGCCTACCCGACTTGCTTGGGACCAAAGACTTTGTTGTTATTGTTATTTTAAATTTTTATATTTATAAACCAATTTTTCTACCATAATTTTATATCTAGATTGTTTTAAATTTATTATAAGTGTGTAAACCATTACAAGAATACTTTTTAAATTTATTATAGGTTTATAAAACATTACAAGAATATAAACTATAAATTTAAATTTATATATAGTTTATTTTCAGTTTATTATACAAGAAAAAATCACTTAATTATACATGAAAAAATTATATAGGATTTATTTTCAATTTATTATAATTATAAAATAATACTTTTATCCACAGAAAAATATAAATTTATATATATTTTATTTTCATAATACGGCTATTGATAAACATAATAAAATCATAGATAAACATTAAAACACTCAAAAAAAACAACTTTAAAAAAACTTTCGGGAATTAACACACGAAATGAAAAACCTAATAAAATCATAGATAAACATCAAAACACTCAAAGAACTAGTTTAAAAAAACTTCCAGAAATTAACAAACGAAATGAAAAATCTAATAAAATCATAGATAAACATCAAAACACTCAAAGAACTACTTTAAAAAAACTTCCAGAAATTAACAAACGAAATGAAATCATAGATAAACATCAACATCAAATTAACACTAAAAAGCTACTTTAATTTAGTTTTTTTTTCTAAATATTAACATACATAAATTAGAAAAAAAGGAAATCGAAGCCATAAATAAAAAAAAAAAAGAAACGCAGCCCATCACTTTTCCGATCTTCAAATCCCCATTTTCACCTCTTTTCTCGACACTTGTTTTCTCCTTGTTGATAACACCAGCTCAAGCTTCTGTTTTCTCGACCTTTGCAATCAGCTTCGCCACAAATCGAGACGAATACGCGTACAGTGCAAATAGTCAAAAAGCATCCGCGCGTCTACTTTGGCGACTCATGGGATCCCATCTGAATGAGCACGCAAGCATTTTCATAACTCAGAAATATAGGCTTTAACAACACAAAACTCATCCCATGATTCATATTTCAGGTAAAATATATTTAACTAAAATAAACTCAAGATAAACATCAAATTAACTCTAACAATCTACTTTCAAAGAACTTTTTAAAAATTATTCAAGAGTGATCCAATAAGAGCTCTCGAACAGACCATGGACTCGCTAGAATTCTATCTTCAAATCAGATCTTAAATCCATAACAAAAAAAAAAAAAGAATTAAAAATTTCCAAAACCCTAAATCACTAACCCAAACCTCGAGGCGGCAGACGTTGCCGGCGGCGGGAGTAGGGAGACGGTAAAAAAAATTGTGATATTAAATCCAAAGGTGCTGCTGGAATTCTATCTTCAAATTTTGAGATCTTAAATCCAACAACTCATACATTTAGATCAATCAATGAAAGCTCCACAGGAAAAAAAAAAATTAAATTTTGTGAAACCCTGATTAACCCACACTTCGAGAGGGAGACGATCTCGGAGACAGGGCGAGATGGCGCCGAGATGCAGACCCTCCGCTGGCGTCGGGAATCACCCCATGGCCAGAAAGGCGGAGCCCGAAGGATATGGCTGTCCATCACTGGTCCAACCTATGGTTGGAGGAGCGGAGCAAGCCGCGGCGGCAGATGGAGAGGAGGGGCGCCGAATACTGAGATTTGCTTTTTGAACGGAGAGAATTAAAGCCGAGAGGAAGTGGATCTGTTGGTAGAAATAAAACTCATGGTGTATCTTTAGCCTTCGGAGAAATCATAAAAGTGGAACGTAAAACTAAAAATGATAATAAAAAACTAATATCGTCTTTAAAGAAAAAAAACTTATGAGAGACGTGCACCGGGTCATTCTTTCATTTCCCAAATGTTAACGTGTAGTGGACCAGACAATTTCCTCTAAATTTAACACTGAAACGGACCTTGGGCCGCTCCAATGGTATCCTTGACCAGCCCAACTTCATTCGCTTCCTTGACCAGCCCAACTTCTATGGCTTCCTTCACTAGCCCAACTCCATATTCCGGTTCTATCTGCCCAATTTGCCTTTATACTCTGCTATTTCAATCCCGTTCGTTCTAGGGTTTTCTATTTTGCCCTCTTCACCTAATGTCGAGCTCCGGCACCAAAGATCCTTTTCTTTCCCTTTCTCCGATCATCACCATCCTTAATTCTACCTTTTTCATAACACGCATATAGTTATTGAGCTTATTTCTCATGTCTGTTTCTCTATAGGCTGATGATTGCTTGAAGTTAAGTTTATTTATCCGAAAATGGCAGACGCAGTGGGATATCAGCAAACTTTTTCTGCACAAATTGTGAGTTTTTTTTTTGGTTCAAAATTATATTTTATCTATTCGTACTAGCTATGAGTTATTTCTTATGGACGGTAGGTTGGGAGAGTATTTGTAGAGAAATACTATACCATTCTGCATAGCTCGCCGGAGTTGGCTTATAAATTCTATCAAGACAAGAGTATCATCGGTCGTGTCGAGGAGGATGACTCCATGAGTGTCACCACAACCTGTCAAGTAAACTACCGTTTTCCTGTTCCTTATTATTCCTAGGGCCGTTTATTCTGTTGTATTTCTAGTACATTTCTAGTACATTTGGTTGTATGTTTCCTGTTCCTTATTAGAATATTGAGCTTGGATGGCTCTTTTTTATTTTAAATTCTTTATTCCCTGTTTTTGATGTGGCTTAACCATGAAGGCCATCAAAGAGAAGATTGTCTCGCTCAACTATGGGGACTTAAGAGTTGAGATCAAGTCGGTGGATTCATTGGAGTCTTTTGTAGGTGAAGTTCTTGTTGTTGTCACTGGCCATCTCGTGGGGCATGACAATGTTGTTAAAAGTTTCACCCAACACTTCATTCTTGCTCCACAAGATAATGGCTACTTTGTTTTAAGCGACCTGTTACGATATGTGGATATTGTCAACGGGAAACCAACTTTAGGAAGTGATATTGTGGGGCGTCCGATCACAACACAAGGTAACCCTACCCCTTCTGTACATTTTTCTTTTCTTGTTCTATCCATTGCTCTCCGAGTTAATATAGAGGAATCAGCCATTGAGGATGAAGTTTACAGTCCATCAGAGGATGGCGACGGTGTGTTCTTTGGTGGAGTAAAAGTTCCAAGATCCGATTTCGCTGATGAGGTACGGAACAATAAAGAGCTGGTGGTTAAATCCAGTGCCAAACACGATCAAATGTAGAAGAAGTCATATGCGTCTGTTGTACGTAGTGATGGCCAGCTTTAAAAATGAGTCTATCACTTAGATTTATTCTTCTTTTTTCTGTTTTATCCATTTTGTCTTTGCCATTGAACGTTATTTATAAAATCCAGACATAATCCCATAAACACTGGCTGGATTATGTGTATTTCGTTTTTGTAGTCCATTCCTTGCTAAATAAATTAAGGTAGGTGTGACTGTGTCTGATTCCCTGTTTGGTTCCCATTATTTTATTTTATTTTTTTTCTTATTATTTTTTCAGCTGATGCGTCTCAAGGGAGCTGCTGCAAGTTTTTCTTCCCCTCCAATGGATCCTGGAAAAGCAACACTAGACAGTGGACAAAATCAAAAGGGTGAAGGCTTGATTTCAGAATTGTCTTATATGCATGTTCATTTTTCATGTACTTGTCTTTAGTTGAATCTATCTTCCGGTGTCTTCGATTGATTTTCTTTTTCGTTTTTTTTTTTCTTTCTAAAATTGTGTCTTGTGCTGTATACAGCCAATTATTGCTCAATATATATGAGGAGGCCTCCAAAGAATGCTATTGAGACGTCACTTGAAGATGTGTTTAAGAAATTTGGGCTTACTCTTACTCTGAAATACAGAAATGAAGCTAGAAGCAAGAGGGTATATCTTTTTAAACGCTAATACTGTTGCCTCTTAATTGAGTGATACATGATGATCCATATAAGTACATTATTATTTTGCTGCCCGCGAGAAATGTCCTCTTTTGGTTTTGTGGAATTTGAAGAAGCAAGTTCTGTACAAAAAGCCGTGCAGGTCGTAGGGAATTAGAACTTATACTTAGTTGAACGTACATGGTTTTCGCCTGTTGTTATGAACTGTTTTGGCTTGTGACATATGCTTCTTGAGATTATCTCGGATAACTGAATTTCAGCCAAGAATGTAACATTTCACATTAGCATCTCTATTAACATATTGTCCTCTCATTTCATTTTGGCGTTTTCGTGTTTCGTGTTTTTGACCAGGCAATACATTTTGTTTATCCTTACCAAAATGATCTTGTGATATGCCTACCATTTTCCATTAAACGTTATTTATAAAATCAAGACATAATGCCATAAGCACTGGCTGGATTATGTGTATTTCATTTTTGTAGTCCATTCCTTGCTTAATAAGTTAAGGTAGGTGTGAGTGTGTCTGATTCCCTGTTTGGTTCCCATTATTTTATTTTATTTTTTTTCTTATTATTTTTTCAGCCGATGCATCTCAAGGGAGCTGCTGCAAGTTTTTCTCCCCCTCCAGTGGATCCTGGAAAAGCAACACTAAACAGTGGACACAATCAAAGGGGTGAAGGCTTGATTTCAGAATTGTTTTATATGCATGTTCATTTTTCATGTACTTGTCTTTAGTTGAATGTAATTTGTAGACACCTATCTTATGTTCAAGAAAAAAGATGTGCAGATCTCAGACTTCTCCCATATCAATTGGTAAAATCTCTAGGCAAGTGTTCTTCTCGAGACATAATAATAAAAAAATCTATCCATCTGATGCATGCATTTGAAAATTGGCACGTGACAAGATTTCATACTGAGGTGTTGTCTTATGAAAGAAGTGATATTTATAGGTAAACAACGACGACACTGACATGGCATTAAAGAGGAAATTTGACCCTCTCTCTTCACCTCTATGATTATGAACTCTGATCACTGATTCATTGCACTCTAATTAATCTGAATATGGTCATGTAATATAATCACATGCACCCTCACCTCCCTCTTTCTTTTTGACTTGCTCTTGAATGGATGCATCCATGTCTTTTCTTCCATTCCTGATGTTCTTTTTACTCTCCAAACAGAGAGATTCGGAACCCATCGGCTTGGAAACATTGGAGGTGGCAGTGGTTACAATAAAAGGTTCAAATTGACATCATTTTGCCCAATAAAAGAAAACCCTAATTTAAAAGAAGAATGGAGCCTGCCGAACAGTGAAACATCCCTGGTCCTTCTCCGGCTACCCGCAAAGCACATCGCCGTCTGCAGATGCGTATGCAGTAGTTGGCTCTCCCTAACCACCTCACCGAAATTCATCTCTGCACAGCTCGACCATGCCCGGTCCGAATCCGATCCCCAAGTCCTTTTCCACGATTCATCCCCTCTCCCAGACAGAGACAATAACCCACTAAAACCCCCCCAATCAGGCCTCGTCTGCTCTTCCCCGGACACATTGATTATTGGCTCGATCAACGGCCTCATCTGCTCCGCTGGCAACTGGATGTACCGCAGCTGGCCGACCCCCAATGACATCTGGATATGGAACCCATCCACTGGGCTCTCAAAGAAACTCCCCATGGGCATCCACGAGTTATGCCGCTTTTCCAATTATCAGGCCACATTCGCCTTCTGCTGGGACGAAGAGTCTGACGTGTACAAAGTGGTTAGAATCATTTCGAAGAAATGGGAAGAAACCTTGGCCGAGGTCTGGTCCTCGGATAATAACTCATGGGAGGAGATTGACCTCACCAACCACCCTTCTTTCTATCACCCCTCACACCATGTGAACGTGGTCCCAACCACCTCCTGCAATGTGTTTGTCGGGAATTCCCCCCACTGGGCTGTCCTCGATTATTATGGGAATCCCTTTATCATATCATTTGATGTCAAAACCAACAAGCTGAAGCGATCCTATTTCCCACCTCTACTATCTTTTGACCGGGAAAAAATCGCTGGGAGAATTACCAATGGGCTTCATCATCTTATTCTTACGAACTGGATGGGGAAATTGGCGGTGCTGGATGCCGTGGATTATCTTTCTGCCGATGATGAGTATGATAAACTGGTCGAGGCTTTTTCTGATACAGAGAGGACGAAGGAGATATACTGGTTGTGGACGATGGAAGCGAATGGTCATTGGATTCGTTCATGTCTGTTTTCTTTTGGTTTTGATTTCCATTATTCCCTGAACTCCGTGGGCGGAGGGAAATTTATGTTGCTGGACAGGTATTCAGATATAGCATTTTATGACATTGTGGAGAGACGAGTTATTAGAACGTATGGAGTTCCCAGTCCATTCCCCTGTATATCTTTGGGCTTTGACTTTGTCGGGAGCTTAGTGTCGATTGAGGGGTCTGAGCCCATTGGGAACGACGATTTTAGCAAATTGATCACTCTCACCTGGCCGAGTCATCTGCAGATGAACTTGAGCGGGAATAAACACCCCAAACAACTCTTTGTAAGTTCACGTAGTATTAGTATTATTATTGGCAGCCTCTGCCGCCTGCTTGTGTGTTTGGTTCCTTTGTGTAAGCTTTTATTGCCCTTTATATTTTTTGGCTTAACATGATGCATTTTGTTGTCATACTTGCGGGAGTAAGAAGTATGGCTTCCATATATACATACATACATACATATATGATTTACTTGTTTTACAGTTTTGGCTTGCACTATGTTTTGCGATTCATGATTTATAGCACATGCATCTTTATCGAAGCTCCTAAGGTTCGACCACACATTCATAGTGAGTACTGACTCTTTCCCTCTCTTGCAGATGCTTCCGGAAGATTGTAATAAATTCTATGACGATGCAATGGAACGTGATCCTGGAGAGTCGGCCGTCCCTGCACCTTTTTGGGAGTGTCAAAATCATTTTACTCCTTTTGGTATATTTTCTTGGCGTTGATTGGGCCAAGGAATGAGAGGCGTGATAGTTGGTTTGTTGTTAAATGCTAAGATGATAGCATCCGTCAACCTCTGAACCTCAGTTTGCTCTTAGAACTTGACAATGGTATTGTGCTTGGACATCTCTATTTATGGTCAAGCTTCATTTCAAGTTTTCTTTTTCTTTCTAATAGTAGGGAGAATGGGGATGGGAACCGTAAATATGTAGTAACATGGAAGGTACAATGTTCATTTCTAGAAGGCTTGTACCTGCCGAAAACCAATTCCCCACCGTTAACGACACCATTTACTGGAAAATCAATAAGTACACCTCAAGTGATCATGATATAATTCCAACATTTGGTTTCATCCTAAATAAGGCGAACATGGTGAGTTGTATTCAATTGGAATGCACTTCCACATAAACAAAAGTAGATAAATCGTGTTAAAAGTAATATTACCTGAAATGTGCAATGTGCTAAATTTCCTTCTCGTTTCATTCAATGGGCAAGCACTTACACATAAATAAAAGTAGATAAATCGTGCTCAAAGCAATATTATTTGAAATGTGCTAAACCCCGTGCTCCTCCACAAAACCTCACGCGAGATGGGAAAGTCTAGTTTATTAAAAAAAATAAAATTACGGTTCGGTTCAAAACATAATGAGTGAACACCGCAAGCATGGAAGAGATAAAATATGAAACATTTAAATCCATCTCAAAACATTAACACACACACACACACATGTTAATGTATTAACTAATTTGTGTGTTTAATTTTGATTAGAACGTTGTTGCAAACTATTCATTTAGCCTTGATTCTTCAAACTATTTTTGCACTTCAGCTTTTACAACCAAACATTGGAATCGGATTGGACAAAGCATACACAATTTTGGCCTTCACTTTACTGCACAAGAAATCCAATTCGCGAATAGTGTAAAAATGATTAATATTACCATACGAAGAATATGAATGGCTCGATAGAACATCATAAATTCAAACAGAGGGTAATTGAGAGATTGCATACTTTTTCAAGAACTCGAGGCCACCAGCAGTTCTCAATTCATTCCTTAATAGTTTAATTAACCCTTCGCAGAACTTCCGGAAAGAACTGTTGTGAAAAGAGAATTGTGTTATGTGGGAATCCTTAGATAAATGGTGTGTTTAATGTTACATGTGGAAATGTCCTAATTCATTGAAGAAAACTTAATCGTGTTCGATTTTGAGATGTGAGAATGAAACTCAAAGTTTCATTAATAGATTCATTAGTTTTGTCTTAATGAAGCATTAAAGCATCTCCTTTTCATTGAATGACAGCTAGCTCATGAGCACTATAAATAGTACATGTATGCTTATGGGAAGAACACACCAAGTGAAGGAAACGAAAAGGAACATATATATATATATATATATATATATTCTCTTTTATCCTCCAAAAACTTAGAAAAATTAAGGGTTCTTGGCAATTGAGATTTTGATCGTGAGTGTGTTAGATAGTGCAGTCTTCACACTTTGAGCCGTCTTATCCTGAGAGAAAAGGCGTAGTACTCGTTGCAGAGTATCAGGCGTCTGTTTCTTCAAGGCAAACAGTTTTTTTCTGTGATTCGGCTATATGTGTTCTATGACAATATAGAACTATCAGTTATGTTTTTATTTTTATAATAAATTTATTTATTTACTAATAGAAATTTGGTTTCATCTCACGTTCTCGTGGTTGATGTTTGTGGTTTCTATTTTCAAATTCTTAATACGTATATGTGTTGAAACTCGTTCTTAATTCGTCTTTTATAATTAAATTTTACAACAAGAACTCGAGGCCACCACCCATAGAATTAGGTTTGCTTTCAGCTAACTTTGGATATTATAAAAATCACCTCTGATGTTGGATAAGTAAATAAAATAAAGTGGTCTAACTTTGGATATTACAAAAATCTGGATAAGTAAATAAAATAAAGTGGTCTAACTTTGGATATTACAAAAATCACCTTTGGCGTTGGATAAGTAAATAAAACAAAGTGGTCTGAGGACAAAGAACTTAAGGAGACGGCATTGTGGAGACGATTTCAGTAGCTGCGATCATCGGAGATGAAGTCCACCGTGGATTATTAAGCAAAACTATGGTAAAGCGGATTTAATGAGAGTTATTACCATTTTGACCAAAATTGTATCATCATAAGCTATATATATAACTGTTGTCAGAGCATTTAATAAAACCCCCAGCATTTTCTCGCCAAAATGCATTTTCAGCTCATAAGTTTTTATTACTTTATCAATATGATAACATTTTTATGGTTATTACTAATTGTTGTTATATATTATAGCATTTTTTTATCTGTTTATTTCTTTATTTTTCAAAGTGTTTCCATCCTTTATTTTTTATTTTTATTTTTTTCTAACCTCTATTAAAAAGCAATTAAAATTGAAAAAAAAATTAATAAAATTCTTAACAAATTATATTAGAATTACTTCTTATACAAAATCATGGTACAAAGACATTTAAGTACTGGAATTAATAATTTAATATTATTTACTGCAATTCATGGAGTATTTGTTGTCCTCCCATCATTTATTCGTACAATCTATATATATGTATAATTGCTGGAAAATCATTAAATAAAACCTAATAAAATTTTACCTATATGACATTTTTCCTCCATTACAATCTATTATTACTATTATTATTATTATTATTATTATTATTATTATTATTATTATTATTATTATTGTTAATCCACCCTATCTCATCAATGATAAAATATTTTCTTGCACTTTTTTTTAGGTTAATTAAGATAAAAACTGTTACATTTTATATTAACTCGGTAATAATTATATTTTTTTATTGTATCATATAATATTTGTTATTAGAATTAATAATAATATGAAAGTTACAGAAGCATAAAAAATTATATTGTAAAGACCTTTTGTTCAAGTTATTTATTTTAAAATCAATATTATATTTTTTATCTGATTAAGCGATTATTTTTTAAATAAATTAATTTATTTTAATGTCATTATATAATTCCTTAAAATCGCATAAGCAATTGTTATAATAACTTTAATATTTTTTGGGACAATTAATTGTTCATCATCACTCAAAATTTAAGAAATTACATTATTTATGTTTTATTGATGTTTTATGTTGAATTTTTGTGTGGAGTGTGCTCTGTTCAGATTTGGGAAAAGTTTGGCTCTTTGGATCTTGATTGATTTGCAATGTAGTGAAAGTTTGTAGGAATTTTGGTGTATGCATGTTTTGTGCAAGAAAATGACAGTATTCTCACTTTTTTTTTTGTTTTTGTTTTTTTGTTTATCGATTAAACTGTATAAAAACCTGGTGATGCCTTTTGGTTTTTATGTTGAATTTTGTGAATTGTGCTCTGTTTTGATTTGAGAAAAGTTTTGTTCTTTGTACTTTGATCGATTTGTAGTGTACTAAAAATTGATAGTAATTTGGAGTTATGTGTCTTCTGTGCGATGCTATCCATTTGGTTCAAAATATTCTATCGAGATTTGATTTGAAATTAGAAAAATACTATCTTTTTTACTTAGAATTGGTACATTGTCTGTATTCTATTTATGCAATTCGATTGAATTAATTTTGCGTGTTTCTGGGATTTTTTCTACTGATCAACACGTATTCTATTTATGCAATTCGATTGAATTAATTATGGGTGTTTCTGGGTTTTTTTCTACTGATCAACACACTCATGTGTGTGTGTGATATCTAACGGGTGAAAACCCGATGAGGGCAGGTAGGATCGCATCTTCCTTCTGCGCCATTCTATCCTTTCGGTTTAAATATTCTATCAAGATTGAATTTTTAATATGAAAGATGCTATCTTTTTCTCTTCAAATTGGTACAGTGTCTTTTTGCATTCTAGTTAACATAACTCAGTTATGTTTGTTTGTGTTTGATATTGTATGAAACTCATTAATGACACTCATCAACTACATACTGATTTTGATGATTATAGCATGCAGATATATATTACTCCTCATGCCACTAGCAATAGTATTCTGCAAATTGTAGGCACTATTGTTCACTAAGTTTTCATAATTATTTAACAAATCTTCCTTAAAATCTCAGGCTGTAGTGAATAACTTAGAAGATGCACATGAACAAATTGACAGAGCCATCTCCACAGCTCTCAAAGAAAGCAAACCTGTGTACATTAGCATCAGCTGCAACTTGCCTGGAATTCCCCACCCAACTTTCACCAGAGAACCTATCCCTTTTTCCATCTCACCAAGGTAAATTATTTAATTAACTAATCATCAATCAGAACTTGCCAATCACTTCTAATAATAACAATTAAAAAAATAAAAATCGAATCTTTCCACAGATTGAGCAACAAACTGGGCCTCGAGGCCGCTGTATCAGACGCAGCCGCTTTCCTCAACAAGGCCGTGAAGCCCGTTATGGTCGGCGGGCCCAAGCTCCGGGTCGCCAATGCGGGCCGGGCCTTCGTCCAGCTGGCAGACTCGTGCGGTTACGCTGTATCCGCAATGCCCTCTGCGAAAGGGCTCGTCCCCGAGCACCATCCGCACTTCATCGGCACCTATTGGGGGGCAGTCGGGACGCCATTTTGCGGCGAGATAGTCGAGTCGGCCGATGCTTATATCTTCGTGGGCCCGATTTTCAACGACTACAGCTCGGTGGGCTATTCGCTATTGCTCAAACGGGAGAAGGCTATCATTGTGCAGCCAGATCGGGTCGTGATTGGGAATGGGCCCACATTCGGGTGCGTGCTCATGAAGGACTTCTTGCACGAGCTGGCGAAGAAAGTTGAGAGGAACACGACGGCTTATGAGAACTACAAGAGGATTTATGTTCCGGAAGGTTTGCCGATTAAGAGCGAGCCGAACGAGCCCTTGAGGGTGAATGTTCTGTTTCAGCATATTCAGAAGATGCTTTCGGGTGAAACGGCCGTCATTGCTGAGACGGGTGATTCTTGGTTTAATTGTCAGAAGCTTAAGCTTCCCGAAGGATGCGGGTAAAGTCACGATTTTTTTCTTTCTTTTGTTCTTTCGTTTGTTTGTCATTATCGTCATTATTGTGTTATGTATTTGGGTTAATTGTGTTTTGAGAGTGATGTGAGTAAATGAAAGATGGTTTTGTAGATACGAGTTTCAAATGCAGTACGGTTCGATTGGGTGGTCGGTTGGTGCTACATTGGGGTATGCTCAGTCGGTGCCTAAAAAACGAGTCATCGCTTGCATTGGTGATGGTAGCTTTCAGGTGACTTTTTTTTTTTTTTTAACAAGTAGTCGAAAGTTAGGCATTTTTTTTGAATAAGTAGTCGAAAATTAGACATTTTTTCACCTAAGTAGTCGAAAATTAGGCATTTTCCAGCAGAAGCAAAAAAATTAGGCATTTTTTTCAAGTGACTGAGTAGTCGAAAAATAGGCATTTTTTCGAATACGTAGTCGAAAATGAGGCATTTTTCGTTGTTTAAGGTCTCGATTTCTTCGTGCAGGTGACAATGCAGGACGTGTCGACAATGATTCGAAATGGGCAAAAGAGCATCATTTTCTTGATAAACAATGGCGGGTACACGATCGAGGTAGAAATCCACGATGGCCCGTATAATGTGATCAAGAACTGGAACTACACGGGAGTAATCGACGCCATTTGTAACGGCGAAGGCAATTGTTGGACTAAAAAGGTACCCAATAAGAAAAAAAGAGGAAATTATCATGAATGACCAAGGAAGAGATTGAATCTTTACATGTTCTTGGTGGTTATTTTTATTTTATTTTATTTTTATTGTAGGTTTATTGTGAGGAGGATCTTATTGAGGCTATAGAGACAGCAACTGGAGAGAAAAAGGATTGCCTGTGTTTTATCGAGGTTATTGTTCACAAGGATGATACAAGCAAAGAGCTTCTTGAGTGGGGGTCAAGGGTCTCTTCTGCTAATAGTCGCCCACCAAATCCACAATAAATTAGTTAATATTGAATAATTATAATTAATGATGATTATTTACTAGGTTTTTTTTGTTTTTTNAGTGGATATTGTTACTTTATGGTTAATTGGTTAGAACTTGGAAGGGCTAGTTTATGAGGTTTGCTTTCGGAATGAAATAAAGTTATTATCATTTGATTTATTGCACATTTTTTTTACAGTGTTGGTGATTGAAATATTTGAAGGGTGTTTCCTATCAATTGATTTGATTTGATTAATTAATCAAATTCCTACAAAGTTATGGTATAATTATTGCTAAACCTTTACTAATAGTCATTTATTTATACTTAACTAGTATTGTTCCCGTGCAAATGCACGGGTATTACAAATAAAAAATATTATTTTAAAAATGAATTTTAAATTGTACAAATAGTAATATACATTAATAATAAAATTACTTACTCTATTTTCCTTTCCCTATTTTTTGTAAATTTTAAATTAATAATTTCAACTCTTGGGAAATAGATTTAATGCAATAATTTTTGTTTCTAAAGCTCAAAAATATCAGAAGTTATGAAAATAGATCTTTCTTTGCATGAAACAAATCATAATAGTGTTGGCATTTTGAGTAAAAGTGCTTACTTTTTTTTTATTTCAGAGTGTTATTGTTCTATCTATATATATACTCATTGTTCTATCAAAATATGTACTCAAGCGCAAGAAGAATGGTTATACATACTCCTTTTCTATTTCTTATTTGATGATGCACTTTCATTGTAATGATTATAAAATACTCATTTTCTATTTTTTTTTTTTGTTTGATGGTGCACTTTCATTG